GGAAAGAGGGAAAGGCAAGATATATGGAAAAGTGAGGAGAAGACAGTAAAACTGGAGCTTGAGGATGTCTCAGAGCACAGCCCAAGAGCAAGATAATGCAGCAACAAGAAGTTAGAACTAAGATTAAGATGGCATGCTTCTTATGTTCTATCCGGCTTTTGTTAACTGTACTTTTTCAAATGAGATGTGCTGTAGCATATTTTACATTTCTGGAAAAAGCGTTCATACAGAGGTAACTGCAGAACTCCAGGCCGCTAAGATGTAATGTATATCAGTCTGAAGGGAAATGACTGCAAATAAAAAATCGCTGTTCCTTCGGTGGATGTGACATGACGCTTTTCCACGCAAATAATAACAACAATTAGCACAAACTTGTCTAATTAGAAGTTCATGTGTAATTTTGATATGTACAAGTTTGGACACCATACACTTATGAATGTACAATACGGAGTATCAAGTAAAATGAAGGCTGAAGAGGTGTACGGTTGGTTTCTGTACAGAGGTAAATAGATGGCTTTATCAGGTTTCCTTGCTTCAGTTTAAGAATCAATGCTCTCTGCCATCTTCCAGGCTGGTGTGCAGAGGGGTCACTCTGGTTTCAGCTGAAGGTGCTCAGAGCCCAAGTCCAGATTAAGCCAATAGCCTTTAAACCAAACATCCTAACTCAGAGCTCCCCCTGGGAGTACTCATCCATGTCACTGGGTCTGGTGTTACGTAGGGTTTAGGAAATACTGCGACCGAAATCTAGTTCTGAGATGGTGGAGATGAAGAGAGCTGACAGTGCTCCGTTTGATCTGAATTTGCTTCAAGGGAAAACCAGGCCCTGCAGGGCAGAAAGGAGCAGTCGGGTACCCTGGACCAGAGGGCACTCCTGGGAACCCTGGCAAGCCCGGGCTGTCGGGGATGCCTGGCCAGAAGGTAAGCTGCTTTCAGCATTGCCCCCTTGTCATTTTGCATTGCAAACTTTCTAAGGTTAAGGTATTTAAATAGAAGGAACCATTCGCAGTTCCTTGAGCATCTTAAAAATTAGGACCATTCTTTGTTTTCTGTCTGTTTTACTCCTGATATTCTGGCCAGGATGTAAAGTAAGGGAAGTATGCTGTGAGAAGAACTATTTCATTAACATACATCAGTAGTAACTACAGCTAAGTGAAAATGCTTCCTTAATGAGAGAGGCTCTACAGCTCTGTTCCCAGAAATGAGCCACAGACCCCGCTGAGACTGCTTCTTCTCAGGCCCGTGTTTTCCTTAATGTGTTTGAATTTGTAACCTATGTCTGTCTACATAAGAGATTCTTCAGCTTTGCCCAAAACCAGTATTAGGTATCTGAGGTACTTGGGAATGTTCTTCGAAACCAGTTTTTGGTCAGTCCGTTGCTGTGGGCCAGGGGTGGAGATCTGCTGCTGCTGGGAGCAATGCCATTTTATCCTTGCCTTTAAATTCCTTTAGTTGTTGTCACTCTTGAAGGTCTGCTCACGTTGATTTCAGGCATGATATTTCTAGATGGACCAAAAGGATGCCAAGTTAGATTTGGCGTTAGCTGATACGAATATGAATTTCCTATCTGGTTGAACAAAGATAAAGTTAAACCAGTTACCCATAGGGTGCAGATGTACCCTATTCAAGCCTCTCCAGTTTCATACAATGTCCACTGAACCTCTTCCAAGTATTCAAACTTCTTTGGAGCTGGATTCAGGAGTATCACCCCAAAGAATTCTTACCTTTTTGCCTTCCCACTCAAAATACCATCATTCGTATTAAAAAATAGTGCATTACTCCATATTTACAATATATAGTAGCATTAAAATTTGTAATAAAGAGAGGAGCTTGACTGATTTTTGCCACAATGAATAAAAAGGACAGAACTTTTGCTATGTAAGTTTATCAGCCCATCAGGCTATAAGCCATAGTACAATATTCAAAAGCCCTGAAAAACCACATTTAATACAAAAATCCTGTTTCATATAACCCTTTTATTTCTATGAAAGCTTAATGGAACGTCATGTGAAATAAGAAAGAAGATATTTCTCTATATATATTTATGTCTGTATATATTTCTACTAAATGGCATCACAAACATTCATTTGGATGGTAGCAAATTTCCATTTTCCAAACGGGCTTAACTCCATGTACCCAGTAACGTGTCTTTTCATTTAAAATAGTTCTTTTTTTATATAATCTGATGTTTCTCATACATTTTCATAACATATTCCAATCTTTCTTCTTGTGGTGAAGTTATTCTATACAGATCCGTTCACACTGTGCACAGTCGTACTCGCAGTATCGGTACGTCTGGTATTTATAAATCAGCGTGTTGAATTCTGGATGTTTCTGTGGGAAGGTAGTCTCTGTTTCTTGATGTGGAATTCCTTCTTCTTGAAAAAATGAGTGCTGTGGATCTGAACCATGTTTTCAGCCTCTCTGTAATGAATGAATTCAGCGTCTTGTTTTAGGTCTCACAGAAACTGTTCCGTATGGTTCCTATTTAGGAGGGTGCTAATAGGAAAGAGGCCTTGCATAAACCCAAAGAGGCAAAACTGCTTCTCCTGAATGCTCTCAGAAGTCTTTCAAGATCTAGGTAGGTGATCCCACACAAATGGCGTCAGGACATATGTAGGGTAGGACAGAACAAGGTTTGAGATGAAGATTGAACTGAACTGCAGTGGGCTATGGCATGGTTGGTGTTTGCTTTGCTGACAGCCAGTTAAACGATAATAACTTGACTCCTCAGAAACCCCAGTGCACTCCACAGATAAACCACATGTAGCTTTGTTGCTGAGTACAGTGGGGTTTTGCTTTCGGAGTCCTAGTAGAAATCCAGATGCTATTGCTGATCATCGTCTTTCCATGTATTCTGATGTGCTGTCAATGTGTGTCAATATACAGAAAGCATTAAGTGGCTTTGATTCAATGTTATCTGCCTGTTTTAGCATACAGTGAAAAAGTGCATTTGGCTGTTCTGCTTGTAATCAATTATTTTCCATTTGTTAAGGGTAATAAAGGAAACTCAGGCTTACCAGGTCTGGCCGGTTATCCTGGAGCTCGAGGTCCCAAGGGATTGCCAGGCATGCCAGGACCCATGGGAGCCCCTGGACTGAAGGTGGGATGTTGTTGTGTTACTGATACTGCTTAGGCTTCATGCTGCACCCAGTGGCTGTGGAGCCACCACAGTCTACTACTATTAATGTACTGTTAATCATATGAGTAATTGACATAAAAACTTCCTTGAAGGGTAAGGCTGCAAGTTCTGCTCACCTTGTTTCCATAAACTAATTTGAAAATAGAGTTCCCATCCATCTGGATGCTGATCTCAGAAGCCATCCAAAGAACTTTGTATTTATTCACTCAAATGTTTCCTGACTTTTCTTTTTAAACTTCTGCAACAACTACTAGAATAGTTTGGATTATTTGAACATCTACAAAAGCTATTGGCAAAGAAGTGCTGTAATTTCAAGCCTGAGCCCCAGGTTTGAGGGCTAACAAGCATCTGACATGGTCGTTTATCACAGAATTTAATTGTTCTTGATCAGTCCTGTCAGAAAGAAAGAAATCTGAGAGTGCTCCATTATCCAGGCAGTTCCAGGTACCAATCATCAGCGTATCCTCATATTACTTAGACTCATTTCAGTGGTAAAAGAAGCAAAGAATGGAAACATTACAGATAATTTTCTTATTTAGAATAAGATTTTTCATCAAAAATCACGATTTGCAGTGCTCTGTGACATTTTATTGGTAAGCAGTTTTTAGAACCTTAAGTTACTTGAAAACTGGGGGAGGGAAATATTGTCTGTTATCTTTTCGTGACAATATTTCAGTATAAACTGCATTCACCATTGCTAGTGTTTATTGCCAGTGCTCCCAGTCTGGATTTCACTCCTTTGTGCGGACAATGAGCCAGCGGAGGTCATTCCTGCTCAGAAATAAGACAGGGAATAGATGAGGTGAAGGAAACTTGTTACCACGTAACACAAAGGAAGTGTTAAGAGTGGTCAGACTGAGTCAGGGCACAAGTCTGTGTTTGTTAGAGCAGAAAGGTAACACCTGGGATAAAGCACACGTGCAAAGCAAGCATGAAAGTTGTATATTCCCAGCCTTAATTGCAGCTTGGCAACCTCCTGAGCTAGACATGGTTTCTATGTATTTGTATGTGTATCCTCAGAGGATTTCCTTTGCATGAATTTGTCCAGGTTCCATTTGAATCAATGTAAGTTTTAATTCTAAGCACAAAGAAAGAGAGAAAGCATGTTCCACACTTCTTCCAGGATACCAATCTTTAGATGTATAACTGTCATAACTGTGATAAAGGATGTATTTTCTTCCTCGTCACAGGGTGAGAAAGGGCTCCTGGGCCATCCAGGAAAGCGAGGCAGAAGAGGTCTCCCAGGATCGCAAGGTGACCAAGGACCAGCAGGAGACGCTGGAGTGAAAGGACAGGCTGTACGTAATCACAGCTCTTAATGCCAAACCAGTATTCCCAGAGTTTCCAATGTGAGATAACAGACAGAATGCCTGCTCCTGTTACAGGGAGAAGATGGAGATCAAGGTTTAATGGGGTTTCAAGGATTCCCAGGTCCAAAAGTATGTGCTCGTTCTTTTCTGTTAGATCTTAAGCCTTTTACAGAGTGAGAACATTAGGAAAGCTCAGAATTAATTGACCTTAATAATAATTTGTTCAAAATCTATCTGGACATCGTAGGCAGAACTGTGTACTCTGTGTCCAAAGACACACGTTCTGGGTCAGCCTGCTTGGCATTTTCACTGCTACTGCTCTTAGAAATTATCTTGTCTTACTTCCACTATTACAAAAGATTGCAACAAGTGGACAGCCAATGTCTGTGCTTGCTTAAACTGTTCCTTTGCATTTCAGGGTCCTGCAGGGGACGTTGGCTTAGTTGGAATTCTGGGCCCGAAAGGTCCAACAGGCCAAATTGTAAGTTTTTCACTCCATGAAAGAGATGTTGGGATGGTTTGCAAGTAACACGTGTTTAATTTAGGGAATCACCTGTTTTCTTATTAACAAGGCCAGAACCCTCTAACCAAACCTTTCTCCCTGAGACCATGCCTGCTCTAGAAGCCCTTTGCCTGTGCTGCAGCACTGCTCTGGTTGCAGCATGGGTACGGATACATAAGCAGAGGTGGGCTCTTAATCCTGAAGGAAAAAAGCAAGCTCTGCTGACAAAGTGTGGCATTTCTAGCATCATTTTATCTGCACGGGTATCCTTATCCCTGTCACATCTTTGTTTGCTGGAGCTGAACATTCCCTTTCCTCTTACTCGCTACGACGCTGATGGTACAACTCTGTCCTATAGCAAAATGAAAAAGGGTCAGACTTTGCCTGCAGTACGAGAGAGCGGTGCTTAGGCATTGCTGATCAACAGGTAGTCTTTTTTAAATGAGTATTTCCTTTTCATCTGCAAGGTTACATTCTTCCTGACACCTTCTTCATTGCATTCTCCTTTCTACTCACCAAAACTGTGGGAGCATCTTTAGCATTTTGAAATACTGGGAGGTGTGCGTCCAGCTTACAGCATCACGAGAAAAAGGGAGCAAGGCTGCAGCATGGAAAGCCTTACCACAAATTGTTCTCTTACTGCTGCCACTGCCATCACAGAACTGAATTGGTCCAGTTCACCAGATACAGAGCAGCTTTAGGACCTGCTCTAACGTTTGCTTGCTTTTTCTAAACAGTGATATACAAGATAAACACTGGAAATTAGTAATTTGCCTAAGTGAAATTGAACAGGAAAGTAACATTTCAGCAGCACGTACTGGCAGCCTTGCAAGAGTACTTGTGGGCAGTAAGAAAACTCCAGATGTAGCTGAAGGTAGCTCAATAAACGTGGTCTTTGGTAATCAGAATACCTAAGTTTCCACTTAGTGTTTTTAGTGCGTCAGCTTTCACATAAAAGAATGTGTGTGGGCTTTCTAAGCATAACTATTACTAATTACTAAAATAATTACTTGCTGATTTTGTAGCAGTGTGCACTCAGTATTCACAAAGGGAGTATCACCGTGTTCTTTTGCGTATTTGCCGGGATATTTGTGTGCTGAGGAGCTTTAAACCAGGACACATCGTGGGGATTTTCATCATTTTAAAACATGGGGGACTAATAAATTCTTTGCTTGTTTACAGGGATATATTGGCCCTGTTGGGCAAGAAGGCATCACAGGCCCAGCTGGCAGGCCTGTAAGTTTCCCTTTTCGTTTGCATAATTTGGTTATTTCACCTACCCTTATTTTCAATAATCTGTTTTGCAACTAGCAACCTTCTCGCTTTTCTTCTTGCAAGCAGCAGCTAGCAGGACCATGAGCTGGTAAGATAACGTATGGGACTCCAGGGTCTGTAATACAAACAAGAGAAAAATAGCAGAAAGCACTGGAAAAAAGTCATTGCAGTGGCCTGTTCGGTGCAGTGCAAGGGCTGTGGGCGAGCCAAGGTGTAAACCAGCACACAGTAACTATCACCTGCGCGTTCTTTCTCAGCCTTAGGTCTGAGACACATCTAGAGGGTATCCACGCTGGGTTTCAAGGTAGTGTATTTTCAAATGCTGGTTGAACTGAAGCATTTAGAGTGCCCCTCTAGACACACTGGGAGCACCCAGAGACCCTTGTTTGAAAATTAAGTAATTAAGTAAGTAATTAAGTACTTTTACAAAGTACTTTGCAAACGCTTCCACAGATGAGACTGGACTTTTCATGTGAGCAGCGTAACTCTCATGGATATTAATTTGCTGGTTTCAGTCCTCGGTGGAGGTGGCTAGAAAGCACCCTGGATTAACAGCTTCTCTTTCTCACAGGGACCCAGAGGCGAGAAGGGCACAAGGGGTGAAATGGTAAGACGAAACAACTCATTTCTTTTGCTGTGCGAAAGCCATTCCTGTGTTACTCTGAATGTGCTCTCGCATGCTCTGAATGCCAGCCAGTGATGTTGTGGAGCTAGTGGAGTCTCCAATTAATAATTCAATTATCATATTTGTAGAAAATATTAATACCGTGATAGCTGATAACTGTGACGTTACTTTATATGGCTGCTTTATCATTAGTTCCTTTTCCAGTAACTGGCCAATGTGATCTTGTTGCCATTGCTTTTACCCTGCCTTTCACCCCGCCTCACTTAAAATAATTTAGTTTCTCTTGTCTTGTTGTATTTTGCTTTCAGCAGTCACCTGTGTACAATTCCAACCTAAGTGCCTCATAGAAGCTTTCAAAACTAAATCAGAAATACTCAAAACTGCTTACAGAATTAAGGCTCAGCACTGAGCTTGCTGTACGTGTTGTCTTGGCAGACTTTTCTCTTTGATTCTCGTGCTCCTGAGGCAGTCGATGTCTCAGAATAAGAGGAACACCAGTTTGTTAATTCGTGCTGCCTTTAACCATCTTAGCTGCCTTTTTCTCCTGTTTGTTCATAGCACCGCTCTGACCGCACAGAGCTCAAAATACTGACACTTAAAAGACAGTAATAGAAACCATCCAAACGGTGCACAGGAAACACCCGTTTCCATTACTGGTGCTGGGGCTTAAGAAGTTATTTCCTAAATATCTTCTTGAATTCATCAAGACTAATTCATCTCCTGTGACCGTCTTCAGAAGAAGAACATTTGATTTTCAAATCATACACAGTGGCATTACTTTACATTATGTAGCCAAGGAAAGGATTTATTTCCAACTGTTTTCAGATAAAAAGGAGAGAAAATCATTTTTATCCAACTGTGTATTCCAAACTCGAATTTACAGCTTTAAAATTGATATTGGCGTTCTTCTTGGGATCACAAAGATTTTAACATTCTGTAGAAGTCCAAGTTTTGGTTTCAGCTTTGAGTCTGCCAGGGATGCAGATGTCCTTGTATGCCCTGAAAGGCCTGGAATGTGAAATTGTGTCTCCTTGGTGAAGCAAAGCTCAGGTCCTGTAGGCTGATTCTGGAGAAAAAATTGATAGAGACAGAAACAGAGTTTGTGGGAAAATTTTAATCAAAATTATATTTCAATTCAAAATATTCATATTACTGTGACTGAATCATTTATTAAAACGTGGAATACGTTTTGGAATATTGTTTCAGCATCCTGACATTCCTGACAGTGTGTTTTCATTTCCTGAATGTTATTTGGCATGGCATGACACACCATGAATTACAGTACAGAGCCATAGGATAATCCAGGTTGTGAGGGATCTCAGTGCCATTTTAGACCAGCCTGCTCTGTAAAGAAGGACCAGCTCTGAGGTCAGATCGTGCTGCTCAGGGCTTTATTCATATTCATATCCATACTTAATGTTCTATTATGGACTTTTGTCTTAGATACACAGTCGTTAATGGCAGCTACCACACCGTATTGTGCATCAGACTGTTACACTGCAGGATGTTATTAGGCTTTACCCATCAAAATGAGAAAACTGGTCAGGGAAAGCTTGACATTAATAATTTTCCTTAAAAATACTTCCTGCTTCTTGGAAAATTTCAAAAGCCATGGACAATGTGGAGGTCCTTGGATTGCTCATGTTTTCAAATACATGTGTATCAGTGTGTAACCTTACAGTATTAGAAACAGATTGGGGTTTTGGCCTTTGAACCTGTGCACCAGCGATCAAATGGGGTGATTAAAGAGCACACTAAAACTGACTGTTCTGTTCTCTGCTTTTGTCGCTGTGAACTGGAATTACACTTTCCTCACTTAAATTCTAACGTGATCAAAGGATAAATTAAGTAGATTTGTAAAGGTAATCCTGTACATTCCAGTAAAACATTTAGCAATTAATTTAATCCATGAGAAGTGTAATTTAACCTTCTTTTGCTGCTCTGTAACAGAAAGGACTTTTATAACATCTCCACAGGATTTTCAACGTGCTTTGTGCAGTTTTGCTCTATTTTAAAGGCGTGTAAAGGTAACTGATATCGCCCTCTGAAGTTTTAATGCAGCTAAGAAATTTAATATCCCCAAAAGCAGTTTAGTTGCTGTAGTTAACCAATAGCATTCGATATTTACCTTTTTTTCACATCAGTTTTATTGGCAAGCAGACAGAGAATCAAGACAAATCACATTCCTTGTTTGCGAAATACCTTCAAGTCATTGGAACAGGACTGGGTTTGGTTTCTGAAATACTCAATTCTATAAATGTTCTATATAACCACTATCGATTTGAACGCTTCTCGTCCGAAGACTTTTTGAGTCTTAGAATTGTGACGCATGCCCAGAACGCAGAACATGAACTGAAGCATGAAACATCTGAAAAGATCCCCTGGAATGTCCAAATCTGAGCGTGCGGAACAAGGACATCTCTTCGTCAGAGCGCAGTGATTGCCTGGGGACAGGCTGCAAGACTTTGTGCCTTGCCTTGCCTTGGCATTTGTGTAATCAGGCCCTGAACCAAGAAATCAAATATGTCCTTACACTGCCAAAGTAATTTCTGGAGTTTCTTTTTCATGCTTTCTCTTAACGGATGCTCTTTAACAGCATCCAAATTGCTGATCTGATTAATTAAACGTGGAGGTCACCCTTCCCAGCTGGTTTACAGTGATGTGGCTCTGTGAAACCCAGTTGGTTTGCAATACGTGGGGGACTACTCCAAAATAGTGAACATCATCTCTGCAAACTCGTCTCTCATCAGTTTTGTAATATTTAATAACAACAGTAATATTTTATGACTATTTAATAGTCATAGGATTTCAAATAACATTTCAAGCAATAGTCAAACACAGAAGAGTAAAGGGAAACTAGGTAGTTGCCACAGAACCCGCAGGGTTTTCTGTACTACTGTATATGCTAAGATTACGTGCTCTTTTATTTCCATTTTCCAACATGAATCATTAATGTCTTTACAAAGTATCAGTAAATATTTACCTAAATGACGGTTTAGAGTCCCTTCTATAGGTATAAGTGGATGGGACATGAATAAATAGGGTCTGTCAGTTGAAAAGCTGACAATATTTGCAGTCCCTAGCGCTCACACCATTGAGGTTGTCTCAGTTCCTTATCTGAAGAGCATCTCTCTAAACACCCAGAAATCCCTTCAGTTCTCCACAAACACACATCAAACATGGGTCTGGGCCTCAAAGCCGTTTGCACTCCCTCAGCGTAGCCTCGTTGGTGCGGCTCTGGGTTGGTGCTAAGGGTTACACGATGGCCCCCACTTCTCACACTGCTCATAATGCAGCTCCTGAGCCCCTCTGGGGTGGCCAGGGCAGGGGAGGGCAACGCTGAACTTGGGGAGGTCATTGCAACCCCTGAGGGGTGGGTTCCTCAGTAGCTGCCATCTGCTCTGCCGTACGGTGATGTCTGGAGGAATAAGAAATGCAGCTGCTATTCTCCTAAGAACTGGTACATGTGGAGTCTCAGTGTCTTAAGTAAATCACTCCTGTGTGCTTTGAGATCCTCTTTTAAATACACATGATTTAATGTGAGGCTGGATCTGGCCTTTCTGGAACCGTTTCCACCTGCCCTTGCCAGCGGCAGCTTGAAGCACAGCCCACGTTCAGCAGTGACACTTGCTCACTCATAGTGAAATCTCACAGCAGGAGTGCTTCTTATCACTATATTAAGTGATTTACAACTTAATGCCTCTTTGAATAGATCAGTTTTTTCAATATTTGTCAGCATGACCGTATCAGACAAGATTATTTCTGTTTTGGCAGTGTGACCACACTGGTGTGAGAGGGCTTTTGCTGGAGCAGCTTATTGTGCTTGAATAATTGGTACAAGCAGCCCTGGCTAAAGAACGTTTTGCTTAAATTAACCCAGTTATGTTAAAAGGTTTCAGTAATGCGTGGTGCAGGTCTGGCCTATGCCTTTCATTCCTCCTCTTTTCTTTTGCTGGTATTGAGGCACTGCCACCCGTTATTTTCCTCGTCATTGTTCTTGCTATGGTTTATGTTACAGCAGCTCCTAGAGGCTTTGAGTGCATAGAGGCTGAGAATCTAACAGAGACACGAGAATCACTGTGTATTAATAAACGTTTATAATCCATCTTAACGTGAGTAATTGCTCAAAGAAATGATAATGCAGATGGAGTGACTGTTTTTGGAAGGGTCCACGTCCAACCCTAAGGCAAGGCTGAAACGTGGATTTAAGGGTATGTGCATTGTAGGCATTGTGAGCAAGGAAAACCGGCTGTTCTGTCTCCTCTTCTCCCCACTCCATCACCCTACACACTAAAGTGATGCCACTTGTGATGAGGAAATACAGGCATAACTTCTTTGAGATGGAGGAGGTCTGCAATATCGCTGTTAAACAATGAACAGAACGTGTTCTGGCTGAAAATTGACACTGCTAATGCATGGAGCTGATAAATGCATAGCAAGTACTCATGTATTAACACTTTGTATGATTGCTAATGTTCCCTTCATATCAAAAGTGTTGGATAAACAAGTAACCAGACAACCAGGCATTCTAACAGGAGTATTCACATGTTAACAGAGTACGGTACTTTGACAGTAGCAACCAATAATCTACAGCTTTACCACAATGGGTATCACATCTTCATTGTACACATTGTGGCATTTTGAGATATAAAAAGTACGTAAATATAAAGGCAGACATGTTCATCTATATCTGTTGCATTTTATTTCCATTTCTTCTAGGGGCCTCAGGGACCTCAGGGCCAGCCAGGACCTCCTGTAAGTGCATAAAAAACCATGCCTGTATTTTCCCATTGTGGTTGCATTATACATATATATGTATGTATGTACATGAAGCACCTAATATCTTGTTTCTCCCATTTCCCAGGGACCACCTGGACCACCAGGACGAAGAGTAAGTTCTGTAAGAACGCCAATCTTCAACACAGTCCTATATGAAAGTGAACATAGCAGGACCCTCGTCAGATGCTTTGCTTGCTCCATCACTGCACATGAAATGCAAATACATCACAGTAACGCATTTCTGAGAGCTCCATCTGACACTGTCAGTGCTGTTCTACAACACTTGTGGGCTTGCTCGTGCTCTTGACATGGGTTAACTCTGGCACACTCTAAGAGGTTTTTCTCCTGTTCTGCATTTGAACACCCTGAAAGAGAGCAACAGAAAACGTTGTGCTATTTCTGGCCCAGATGTTATCCCCATATACATCTATATACACACACATAATTAGTTTGTGAAGGGATTGTGCCAGTCCTAAAGGTGTAATGATATATGTAATCTGCAAACCAAATTGGAAGAACTGGGTGCTTCTGTGGGTGACTGAATTCTTTAAAAATAAAGCAACTTGTCTGGGTCTGTACATCACACCAAGTGCAGAGAATGAGGATACGCAGGAAACGGGCTTCCTCCCTCAGTTTGTCAGTCTTGGTATCTGTTGATGCGTGCCTTGATCTGTCAGCTGCCGATGGCTGCTTGAGGTACCTGTGTGCTTCCCTGTAAAGGAGTTACCCCTGTTCACACCTACCTTACCTGGACTGGTTTTCTTAAGTATATCAGTTAAATGGCTGGGAGGATCAAGTTGGGATATTAGTCTGTAACAACTGTTATAGAATGTTTTTTGCAATTTCCAGGGGTCTGATCATTAAGTTGGGCATGGGGTTACTAATAAAAATCAAATATGCTTTTTCTGTATGCATGCTTGCATTCTTTGGAAATTGAAGGCAGGATCCTATTCTAAAAGTAAGTGTTTGCAATGAGTTCTTTACTGAAATGACAAAATAATGAAGCTGTCGTGTGTGCTGCTACAGGGCTCAAAGAATTCACCACCTGCATTTTAGAATATTCCCGTTCACCTTCTTATGTTCTGAAATACCTGTTTTTCAGAAACAAGTGGACATCAATGCTGCTGTTCAGGCTTTGATTGAGTCAAATGCTGCCCTGCAGATGGAGGTAATATATTTCAGTGTATTTACGTTGTCATAAAGGGTATGCAGTTATAACTCAATTAACCAGAACAAGGCTTATTTACAAAGACTTAATTTAAAATGAATCATGGAGAACAAGTAATTACTGTAGAATATAATTAAACATGTTAGGATTTGTAGGACACAATTGAAATGAAGAAAAACAGCAGCATTTCTACCTTTTTGTGAAGATTGGCAGCAATGGAAATTTATTGACTGTCCCACATAGCAGGCTGTATCTGTTCTGCCACAGATAACGGTAGCGGTATTTAGACCTTGATCCCAAAAATACTGACCTGTATCCAAGTGGGTGTCCCATTGACTGCAAGAAAATTCCTTACATGAGTGAAGTTAAGCACATTTGCATCTATTTCCTAAGTTGAGTCTAAGAGTAGATTTCAGCGTTCAAAATCTGAAACTGCCAAGTGTGCTTTAAAAATGCACTGAATTCTTTTTTTTCTGTACCCACGTTTTTTATGTCACCATACCATAACCATGTATTTGCGTCATCTTAACCCGCTGTAACGTCACTGCTCTGATAGTCTTAATGAAATGTACTCATTTGTTTATTGGAGTATGTTTTATATGGCTGACTGCGTGCATTATAAATACTTTTCTTCTGCCCGGCTGTTCAGTGGCCATTTGACTCTTTCTGCACATGCTGTTGTGGTAACGCCTTTGCTCCTGGCCCTTGGCAGAAATACCAGAACACAGAAGTCACTTTGCTGGACCACAGCACAGAGATATTCAAGACGCTGCACTACCTTGGCAGTTTGCTGCACAGCATCAGGAACCCCCTTGGCACGCGGGATAACCCCGCACGCATCTGCAGGGACTTGCTCAGCTGTGAACGGAAGGTGGTGGATGGTGAGTGCCCAGCTCACCGCTCGGGCAGCGCTGGGCTCTGCAGTGGTTTGCTTCCAGATGTTCCGTCCTACATCAAAACTCCAACGTGTGCAGTTTTTTAATTACATTCTGTTGCAGCGTGCCTGTCACAGCTTGCTTTGTTTTATTTTAGATACGACTTCTGAATGTTAAAGATGCATGTCAATATTATAGATTATATATATTATATCATATATATACTAAATATTATTTATATATGTATTATATAGATATACAGATTATATATATATATAAGTAAACACATGTCCAGAAAATTTAAAACTGAATACAATTTTGTCATTAAAAGTTTCCCATGTATTTAAAGCCTAATATGCCATGAATTTTGTGGGGATCAGTTTCTAGATTCCTAGTGAGAAAACTGTATACAATATGCTACCTCTGTCAGACACACTGACAGTTGTATCCCAGAAGATCCGAAATCAGTATTTCAAATATAAAAGAATTATTTAAACCTGTAATGTCAATACTGGGACATAATTCAGTTTCTGAGTAACTAATAAAATAATAAATACCTGAAAATATCCCTGTCATCAAGTATCAGCATTAGCAAGGTAAGGAGGAAATGGGAAATGAAGTTAGAGGTCACAGGGAAATACCTGGTTTATGGCATATATAAGGACAGATCAATTATTTAAGACCCTAGTAGAAATGAGCCTAAATCTTATTAGAACTGTGTTCTCCTAAATAAATCTCAGTTCTTTAGGGCCACGCAGGTTACTGACACAGTCCTCCACTTCACAGGATTACACGCACCTGTAGAAGTTGTACAGGCTCACCCGTATTTAAACATGAATTAAGGAAAGCTAAATCCTGATATAACTTGCATGTGCCCTGTTTCTTTTAATGGACCAAATCCCATGGATCCCCAATGGCAAATTCTTCTTATTACCATTACTGGGACATGTCACGTAGAAGTGCCCGATGGCAGATAGTGGAGAGAGAAAGCATCTTCAGGATGCTGTGAGAGCAGGAGAAATTAGATGGGTATTTTACATCCCGAATATATTCTCTGTATAAAGATAAGTCCAAAGGAAAGAAAGGTTAAGTGTTAATGCAGAAAGAGGAGGCTGGAAATACTGCTTGTTCTTGCTCTTTAGCTGTAGAAAGGGAAAACATTTCTGAAACTATGACAGTACTCAGAAGTCATTGTATATGTAATCAGAATTGAGTGGTTATGATAATTTTGCTCAATAGCTGTTATTAGTAGATTTGTAATAGTGAAAAGACTTTCATGTTCCTTTTTCTTCAGTTCCTAGTAAAGCCATGGTGATAATGTATCTTAATACTTAACAAAAATACCAGTATTATAGCAAATTGCTTAGTAACCATTATATTTTTGTTTTATGTTCCATCTGGGGTTATATACTAACAGGAAAATACTGGATCGACCCAAACATCGGGTGTCCTTCTGATGCCATTGAAGTCTTCTGCAACTTCACTGCAGGGGGTCAGACGTGTCTAACGCCGCTGTCGGTGACAAAGGTAGGCATTGCTTGCAGAGGGACCGTGTCTGAGCTGCAGCTCTGGACTAACGAACGCTTATTCACTTCTCTCATCACAGGATGTTAGGTTTCAAGATTTAGTGTGCATCTTTATGGAAGGAGAGATCATATATTCTGTTACAGAAGTTACAGAATTTCTGGAGACACTTATGTCAGTGTGACTCTCACCTCTCTCATTTACTAGTGTGCATCTTTATGGAAGGAGAGATCATATATTCTGTTACAGAAGTTACAGAATTTCTGGAGACACTGTCAGTGTGACTCTCACCTTGCTCATTTACTCACTTTCCATGCTGATTGACTTGTTTTGGGTTTTTTATGATTTTCTATACAAGGTATAAAAATAAGCCTGAAATGCTTCTAAGCAACATCAGTAGCTCATCACTAAGCAATGAGATGCTGAAGCCACTGCAATGGGAAGAAAATGATGACTCCTTGTCAACACTTGGCCACTTTTAAACACCATTAGGCAGAGACTGGTTTGCTTTATATGATGAGTCCACGCTCCTCTTTACATGTAGTCCTTAAAGCCTTGGATATGGACACTTTATATTTGTGGAATTTTGCATGTACACTGTAGGCATTGAAGAGCATCAGAAATACCCTGAAGTTCCCATCTGCATTCCTACACTTGGAAGGTACCTGAATATGATCTCGTCTTGGAGGAATTCTTGTTGAGTAATGAGTAGCTATATTGTCTGTGTAAAACCAAAAAATACTTGTGAATTTTTGGATTTTAATGGGATGTAGGTATTGCCAGAGCCTGTGGTCTAAGGCAGCTGAACAGCAGCATGATGTGGCTGCAGTTAAAACACTGCTGCTGATAGTATCTTTGTTTAAATCACAAATCAACTCGTTTCAGCTTCCTTATTTAAAAACAGTGTTTTCTGCCCAGCTGTGTTTCAACAACGTTGTAAGCATTACCAAATGTTTGTATTTCAGGCTTTGAAAATGTCCTATGAAAAGCTGTTGTTTATGGTAATCGCTGTAATAGAACCTAACAGCTCCCCTAAAGAGTTCAAGTTGTGCTCCTGGGCACTGATCCCAGCGTACAAACACTTGGGGGCTCCCATGCCTTGCTGTGGCCACTCGGCACAGTCCAGCTGCAAGCCTGACCACGCGTTTCTCTTGCCCCTTAGCTGGAGTTCGGCGTTGGAAAGGTGCAGATGAACTTCCTTCATTTACTGAGCTCAGAAGCCACCCACAGCATCACAGTGCATTGTCTGAACACACCGGTGTGGAGATTCAGTGAGGCAGGTGGCCAGAAAACGTCTGTTAGCTTCAAAGGATGGAACGGTCAGATATTTCAAGCAAATACACTACTTGAACCAAAGGTGCTTATGGATGAATGCATGGTAAATACTTTTCAGCACTAGCATTATTGAAACCGTAATGGAGTTACTCTTTAGACATTATTGACTTTCTGCAAATAACTAACTGTCATTTAGATTCCCATCCCATAAAACCTCCTTCTTACGCTGTTCTGCGTGTGTGCCTATGCGCCAACCTTTTGATACTGAATTCAGTATCTACTCAAACGTAAAAGCAGTTGCAGCAATGCAGGGTATCTGTACTTGCTGTCCACATCGAGTGTCGTGTATTTCTGGACTCCACTGAGACACTGGAGAAAGATCAAAACAAATACAGAGGTGCCCCAGGAAACTTTAGGAACTTTACTCCCAAAATGAAGATTCAGTAAGAGTTCTGTTGAGGTTATCTAACACAAAATCTCAGGTTCAAAAAGGCTGCCAATTATTTTTTGACAACTAAATATCTTCAAATTCATTGAGTCAATTATTTAGTTATTTAACATAATAATAATAACTAAGATGGAAAATGGACTCTGTTGCTAACAAATACTAAATCAGATTTGTATTTGGGAAAAATTGGAAGAGCTCATTAATTGTCTGATGCTTATTTGAATACTCCACTCACTGAGATGTGAGCTATTCGTAAATGCCTTGTTAGAACACTATGAAATACAGCAGCCAAGCACTTTACACTCTATTTTATAGCTCTACTTTCATTCATAATAACGAAAGACATGAGACTGGTTCCATATCGATACAGGGGTGTCAGGTGTGGTTTTTAACCTCAAGAAAGTGGTTTTATTGAGGCACTTTGAAGCTGTTGTGCTTCTCACCTTTATCAGCACAAGCTACTGAAAGGCTCTAGCCTGGGTCGTACAGCCAAGGTATGGCTGCTGAAGCCCCTTACCCACCTCCCAGTCTGTTTGGGACTGGTTTAATCCCTAAAAAGCTCAAGGCATACAGAAGTGAGAAGGGCCGTTTTTCTGTGAGATTCCATGAGGTCGGTTGCTCTTTCTGTGGGGAGCTATGGATCGTACAGATCCGCTGCCAAATCTCACACACTGCCCTCTCTGCAGGGATTGCACTTTTCAGTGGTGTCCACTGCGCTTGATGCTTTTTAAGAACAGAGCGATCGCAAACATAAGGCACTCCCAGCCTCTGACAGTGTTACCGTGTTATCTTATAGTTTTTATGAGGTATCGGTTTCTTACTGGTATTTTTAAAGGATTGGAATAATCAATACAAAGTTCCTGACAAAAATGCAGCTCTCATTCTCTGTGATTACTCTTCAAGGACAAAGACATTCAAGTGCCTGTAAAGTTCATGGCCTGAGCCCTGCTGTTCACATTCAGAGATTAATTTAGCAAGAGCCTCTATGGGCTGTGAACCCAGGACTGCTTGCACAGTGACGGGTGCGCTGCTCCGAGCCCCGTTGTGCTGTGTCTGTGTCTGCTCCAGCTGCCTGTAGCATTGCATGGGAAAAACGACATTTGTTAAATTACACAGTTCCTTTAGGAATGCTGGGACAAGAGATGTTCATGTACACTTTAAGCACAATTTCCAGTTGTGTTTTGAAGCTCGTCTTTGGGATGAATCTGATAACTCTGCTTCTGTGTGTTGCAGATTGCAGATGGCAGCTGGCATAAGACGCAGTTCTTTTTTCACACTCAGGACACCGATCAGCTTCCAGTTGTCCGAGTTAACGCACTTCCTCGCCTCAAACCAGGACAGCAGCACTTCATAGAGAGCGGGTCAGTGTGCTTCCTTTAAGGTTTCTGTCCTGGCTTGGGGTTTTTTTGGATCAACATGGAATTGCTGCATAGATTGAATGCCAAAGAAATGATCCAATACAGGACAAACTGCTGGAAACGGAAGAATCGCTTTGAACAGCATTGTTTAAAGAACCTCCAGAAGACGACGACTTCCTCCTAAGGAGAAATGGCATTGAAAAAGGAAAGACAAAAAGAAAAAAAGGATGGACTACAACAATTTTCATAAAGTATTTTAAAAAAAAACGGTTGGTGCTTTACTGCATAATTTCCTCGGAACTAAGTATCCGGACACGGGATTTTTCAGGACCTCTTAGCAACCTCTTTAACAGCACTGCAAAAAAACCCATCCTGAGGAAAGCTGGAGACATGCAACCCAAGGAGCAATACTGGCTAATGCTCCTAAATGTGCAATAGCGTATGTGTGAAAAGCGAATCATGCCACAGTACGGTGCGTCTTCTCTTAAACGTCGTTTTGTTATCGTCCTCTGCGGACACACACATCTTAACGGATGGCACACTACCTCTTTTGTGTTCCCTGTCCATGTTGCCTTGGTGCTCTTCATAACACGAGGTGCTTGTGGCTTTATCAGAGATTATTCGAGTCCCTCTTTATCCTTCAGACTGTATGTGCTGGCTACATCAGGATGCCTCTGTTGTAAAGGTACTTATTTTAAAAATCGGTCACATACTTCACTGCAACGGAAACGTTATTTATGTGGGTTTCTTGTTTAAAATATTTTTGTGGGCTGTTGTGGAGATGGTGTATGAGACGGCACATTGTGTATGATGCATATAGTCAGAACAGTTAGCTTTACCGCCACTGTAAAAATGGTTGTAGAAGAGCTACCTGCAGTAGTCTTGAGTTTTAGATCTGTATTTCAGTTAACGTTTTGAATGCCAAAGGCATCTTAAGGTGACATATTGTGTATATATTTTGTAACTTGAGAAAAAAAATCTACTTCAGCATGTCTTCTGAATGGCTGCTGTTAAATTATAATCAGCATTTCATCAACCTAGAAAGTCCATTGTTTGCATTATTAGGTCATTTCAGTTTTTTTTAATTAAGCCTAAAATGTTCAACCATCTTTTTTTGTTAAAATATAACAATTTCACCATTAGGAAAGGCACCCTTTATAATGCTATGTCTCTATCTGTTATCAGTCCAAAGTCTGCTCCTCAGTACACGGCAAGATGACACCAGACTGTACTGGGGGGCGTTCAAACAACTTGTTGAACTGCCTGGATCCACAGGAAACCGTACTTACAAAGTATAATAAAATAAACTTCCACTCTATGTGTTTGTCTTTTACTCTTCTGCTTCACATCGTATAGTTAATTCTTAGTGAGGGTGAAAGTCCTTCAGAAGGGTACATGTGAGGTGGCAATGCTTTCTTTACTGAGGGGAAAAGCGCACGCTTCCTGCCGTAGAGACAGTGCTTGCTTCTCCAAGGTCACGTACACGTACATCCCATTTTACATTCGATATTACAGCATCGGTTTTGTTCCCTTTGAGGAAATCTGATAAAACTGAAGTCAAAGCGAGATCACAGAATTATGATAGAGTGAATGTCTCTCTTGTTGCATTTGCAGGATCATTACACTCTGGCAGCATCACTTCACATTTGCCTTTAGTTTGGCTGTGGAGCTGATGTTGGAACAAATGGATTTTTTTTTTTTTGTAGGAATGTAATCTTTAAAAAGTATTCTGCTTCGTGTATATTTATTAGTCTCATTTTTGGGAATTCTTGGTAGCCTTTATTTATGGTTTATCTCAGAAATTATCTATTTTAAAAACAAATAGCTTCAAGTGTTGTAAGGCTCTTCAGAAGTGAATATCTGCATTGCTGTAACTGAGGCAAAGATGCACGTCCCGTGCAGCCAGCACAATGAACCCGTGGGATGCTGCGGGACGCTGGCAGAGGATCACGTACGTGCCCCATTGCTCGAGTTGGGGTTTGCCAAAAACCATTGGTTGAAGCATTGTGTGTGACAGAGCACGTGTACGCACTGCAGTGTTTTGGCAATCCTCCTGTGTTCAGACCCTTCCTGAAGGCATTCACAGGAGATCTCGGGCAATTTTGTCCCACAATGTTAACAAGGGCCTGTACTCTGCAGTTAGTGTTTTATGGTTTCTGAGGTGGCTGCCCAATTTGTTAGCCTTAATTTCAGAGCAAGCCCTGGGCTAGATTACAAGACCCTTTGTCAAAATCCTTTTATCCTTTTTATTGTTATTTTTCATTATTAAACATCCATAAGGAGCACCAGGGAGGCGGGGCTTTGAAGCAGCTGAAAGCAGGAGCGATAAAGCCCGAAGGCTGTGGGACGCTCTCAGCGCTGCAGGGACCGGGCCAGCTCCAGCCTCAAGCAGGGAGCAGCAGCGCCCTTCTCCCCTACCCCGGGGCCAGGCCC